TATATATATATATATGTGTGTGTGTGTGTGTGTGTATATATATAAGTAACGTGATTAGTTACTTTTTTTATGGAGTAACGCAACATTGTAATGCATTACTTTTAAAAGTAACTTTCCCCAGCACTGGATATGAGGCGCTTCTTCATCCTTCAAAAAGCCCCAGTCCAAGAGGTCGGCTCGGTTTGACCTCCAGACGAAGGAGGCAGACCGAGGGCGTCGACGCCCCCCGCCGCAGGAGACTGGCGAGATTGTGAGGAGAGGGTCAGCGAGTGAACAGCAGCACGAGGCGCGGAGGATTACCTCACAGCTAGCGAGTCTGACGGATGATTCGCTCCATTGTGGCCCGAACAATGCCCGCCGCGCGGAGTGGGCTTAAAACGGCAGAAGCGCTCGCACGGAGCTCAATCCTCGCGGGAGACCGGCAGCAACCGTCTGAGAGGTACCGGATGATATCAGATAAGAGATCAGATTGATTTGAAACTACTGACAGAGTTTTATCGGCTTCGTTAGCTGTTTTGAGGATGTTTGAGGGGAGTCTTGGAGAATTATTTGACCGTTACACTTGCTTTTTTTTTAATCCTTGAATTGGCGGGAACAAAAGCGCGGTTTGTTCTCCGCGTCCATTTTGCGATGCGTTTATGGCACGTTTTGTGAGTTTTATCGTGAATGTCTCTCTTACCTCATTTGTAAGTCGCTTCGGATAAAAGCGTCTGCTAAATGACTAAATAAACAAATTTTCAGCTAAAGGAAGGTCAATTTGTTGCTAAAAGTTGCTAAATGACGTTGTGATGTCATTGCACGATGGCATCATTACGTAATTATAATATTAAAATATAAATAACTGTATTTTTAAATACAACATTGAATTATTGAACACTTATATGAATTGAATACAATTTTTTTTATTAGCTAGTGAACTAGTAAAACTACACATTCTGAACAATTATGGTTTTAAGCCGTGTATTAGCAGTCAGTTAGTATGCTACACGCTAAAGAAAATATCTGTAAGAAAATAGGGCGCAATCGACTGTTAATATGAAGGAATTTTCCGTATTGATTTTTCACCGTTATTTTACCTGCATTACGCATTGTATTTTGTGTTTTCGGGTTATAACGGATAATGTCCTGGAAAATTACTAGTACCTTTTCCATTTTTCTAGATATTTTTCTTAGTGTACTAACTGATCAACAACCGCACGTACAAGTTACTAACAATGTGTATCATAAATTAACAATTATTCAATTATTATTATTAAATTGAGCAGTTGCTAATAGCAGCTAACTTACCGTATTGACCCGAATATAAGACAATGTTTTTTTCTTGGAAATACGTCGGAAAAAACGCAGTCGTCTTATATTCAGGGTCTAGACTTTGACGTGTCAATAATACACACACAACAATAGGTGGCGCCAATATTGATTTTTCACCGTTATTTTACCTGCATTACGCATTGTATTTTGTGTTTTCGGGTTATAACGGATAATGTCCTGGAAAATTACTAGTACCTTTTCCATTTTTCTAGATATTTTTCTTAGTGTACTAACTGATCAACAACCGCACGTACAAGTTACTAACAATGTGTATCATAAATTAACAATTATTCAATTATTATTATTAAATTGAGCAGTTGCTAATAGCAGCTAACTTACCGTATTGACCCGAATATAAGACAATGTTTTTTTCTTGGAAATACGTCGGAAAAAACGCAGTCGTCTTATATTCAGGGTCTAGACTTTGACGTGTCAATAATACACACACAACAATAGGTGGCGCCAAATACGCATTAAACGAGTGTGCCGTGAAATACGTAATGTAACGCGTGTCGTAAAGATCGCGAGTAAAAACTAAAGAAAAAGAAAAGCTTACGGCTGCACGAGTCGTGACAGTCACGTGAGCCTGATGGCACCAAACTCTTTGTGATTTTAAAACGTAAGACGGTACCCAGATTCGAAGACTACAGTAAGATTTAACTTCTACTGTTAATAAGATTTTGGTAGGCTACTATTAGATGGATAGCCTAAATGTCCCAATTCATGTTTTGTTTATTTTAATGGTATATCAAAAAGTGTATATTTTTTAAAATGTGATTGTTGGTACGTTTTACCAGTTTTTACCGTACTTTCAAAACAAAAATTAAAATAGGAAAAATATGCAACATGAAAATAATTTTACTGCGAAAAAACAAGATTTGGTTTTTAAAAAGCGTTTTTCCAAAAGGTACATCTGGCAAAAGGGGGGTCGTCTTATATTCGAGCCAATACGGTAATACTTGTGATGCGTGTACTGCTAGCCATCTTTGGTTTCCTCATTTTGTGTAATTTAGATGGAAAATGTGTGCCTTTTTATCTTTCGAGTCACTTATCAAAAGTTGCTAAAAGTTGCCAAATAAATTTTTTAAATAGCTAAATTTGTTGCTAGGTGCTTTTGGAAGAAAGTGTTGCTAGGGTAGTCTGAACAGTTGCTAAATTTAGCAACAAAATTGCTAAGTTGGCAACACGGTTGGCAGCGTTCAGCTGGAGTTAGAAATGTGCTGATCCGTTCAGAACGCTTTTATGATGAACGGATGACGTTTTGATTAATCGGCTCGATTCGAGCCAAATGCTGATCGCACAGAAAGCCTTTTGTTCGCGACCCAAAGGGTTGGTTTGTAAAAAGTTGGTGCAGAAGTTACACAAAATGTCAGAGTTGTCTTTTAGTGCTTGTATTCGTATCAACAGTCTTTTTTTCTTCAAAAGTGGAGAGATATTTCATTTTTAGACATCTAATATGGCATTAATAAAAGTCTTTATTAAAAGCAAAACAATAGGTGGCTTTCTGTACGCTATTGTGGAATATAATGGTAAAATCCATCATATTATAATGTTTAAAATTATAAAAATGGATCGTTATAACTACAAAATATTTATTAATATTTTAAAGATGTCATTAATTACCATTAGAAAGTTTCGTGCTAGGTTTCTGATGGTTTGTTAATTTTAAAAATATACATTTATTTATGCTATAATTTATAAATGGTGATTTATATGTTGTATATTATAAAAATTAATCAAATTAATTTAATCTATTCTATAATTTATTATGATTAGTAGTTATGTTGTATATTTGTTATCAAATTTACACATGCTTTTAATTTGTCCTATAATTTATTATTAATACTGTATGTTGTATATTTATCATAAAAATCTACAAAGCTACACACAAAATAACATTTAATTTATCCTATAATTCATTATTATTATTATTTATATGTTGTATATTTTATTTTAAAAAATACACAAATACGTTTAATTTATATATATAAGTTAGTGTTTTTATTTACTAATATATACATTAAAGTTTATTTGCTATCTGTAATAGTAACAAATATAGTATTTTGTCTAAATTTGTATTTATTGAATAAATTACACATACTTTTAATTTGTCCTATATTTTATTACCGGTATTATTATTGTTTATATGTTGCATAGTTGTCATAAAAAAATATCAAAATTGCACAAATATATTTAATTTATCCTATAATTTAATATTATTATTATTATTATTATTGTGTTTTTTTATTTACTAATATATTCATTAAAGTTTATTTGCTATTTGTAATACTAATAAACATAGTATTTTGCCTAAATTTGTACATGTTGTATGTTTTAAAGTCTTTATCCTGAGAAAACTGAAAGCTGAATCACGTTTTACCGAAAATATGCGCGGCGTTTACACGTGCAGAAGTTGCTGAGTGGTTGCCAGGCAGTTGCTATGCGGTTACCATAGACTGTATAAAACATGGATGTAGTGTCCGCCTCTAGCGGCCAGTCGATGAATTACAGTTTAAGTCACTTCCGCGTTGGCTTCTCGAGAGAGAGCAGGAGGTTTCTGATTGGTTGTTGGCATGTTGCCATGGGGTTGCTATGGGTGTTTGCTCTCTCCCGAACAAGAGGAATCATTGACGTCTGGAGCGCAAACTTAATGTCAGTTCTTCAGCACTAGTGTATTCAGTGCAGTGTGTGTGTGTGTGTGTGTGCGCACAGGACGACATCCCGATCCTCTGATTGATGGTGCTCACTCTGGTAGGCGGGGCCTCTCTGTGTGGAGTGGCGGCCCTCGTGCTCCTCATCATCTCCACGGCAACAGACTATTGGATGCAGTATCGCTACTCCGGGAACGCAGCCAATCAGGGCCTCTGGAGGTTCTGCATCAATCGCAAGTGCCACGCCCACACGCTGACCGTGGGTGAGTGCGGTAAAACCGCCGTGTAAACTACAGTAATATTAATATGTGTGTGTGTTTTATATAATTGTTTTCCCAAAAACAATTTAATTTCACGTTTTGTGAAAATAAAATAATGTAATCTCTATCCACCTGAAAAAAATTTATTTTTATTTTTTGGTAAATATTTTGGTAAATATTTGTAATATTTAATTATCAATCATATAAAACATAATTTTATGTTCAGTGAAAATATAGAAAAAAAATTATAATCCATCTCCGTCTGCTAAGGGTAATATTGTTAGAGTGTTATATTATTTTTTAATTTATTTTGTTTTTGGTCATTGGTATTGAAAGACTATATTATTTATTATCAATATATTTATTATTATTATTATTATTATTATTATTTAATCATATAATTTCACTTCATGTTCATTGACAGAATAAATTAATTTTTTTATTATTACATTTTTATTATATGTTTTTCAAATTATTATTATTTTTCCAAAACTCATTTCCGTTTCTATGGTAGATTTCAACAGCTCTAATCAATAATCTGCCTTAATCATGGCTCCTCGAGTATCCCAGAATGCTCGGAGGAAGCAAACAGGAAGTGCATTAATTGTGTTCGTTGCACAGCATTCTGGGACGCCTCGCGGGCCTTCATGCTGCTGTCGGTTCTGGGCTGTTTCGCTGGACTGCTTTTGGGCGTCACTGCGTCCAAGCGGCCCCGGAGCCGACGAGTGCGGACCGGAGGAATCGTCCTGCTGCTGTCGGGTCAGAAACACACATCCGCTTCATCTTCTGTGAAAACATCTTCTCTGTTATCTCTAGCCATCTGAGTAGGACAATATTTTGTGTTTTTTATTATATTTGCAATATTCCTAATTATTAAAAACATAAAACTTAATTTCATGTTTAAGGAAAATATGACAAATAATGTTATTTTTTTTTATCCATCCGGGAAGGTAATCATTTTAGAATATTTCTTATTTTATTTGTGCATTTTTTTTACGTTTCGAAAGACTTATAAAGTCATGCAACTTTTGAAAATTGTTTTCAATTCTTTAAAATTCCTATATTTCTTAATTTTTTTTTGCTTTATAGTTTGCATATATTTTTTTATATATATATATATGTATAAAAAAATGAATTAATTATTAAAAATTAATTATTTAAATTAAATATCTGATATGTTTAGTTATAAAAAATTTAATTTATTTGTTTAAATTAAAAAAACATTTGACACTTTTAAAGTTATTAAAATTCAAATTAATTTAAGTTAAATCTGACGTGGTTACATTTAGTTATTTAAATTGTTAAAAGCATTGACTACATTTCTGTTTCATGAACACTAAACCGTCTCAGCAGCGTGTGAGGGCTCAGTGTGTGTGAAGCAGGGGTCTGTGTTTCTGCAGGGTTTCTTGCGCTCTTGGCTTTGGCGATCTACACCGGCATGACCGTCAACTTCTTCGGCAAACGCTACATCGACTGGAGATTCTCATGGTCGTATATCTTGGGTTGGATCGGCATCATATTGGCTTTTGCAGCAGGTATATTTCATTATAGCATGCTTTTTTACCAAATATGTGTAAATTAATTCATTAGTTTATTTTTTGCAAAAACAAACAAGTTTAAAGATTTGTTTTTCCATTCTTTTTTTTTTGCAAAACATTGAATTTTGAACAAAATACAAAAAAAAAAAATCTAAATGAAACGTCCTTGTTTTTTGCATTTGTCATAGTCGGTAATAAAAAGTCAATTCCTGCTTTTTTCATTTTTACAAAATAAATAAATAAATAAAAGTGCATAATAAAAAAATCACGTCGTCTCAATAAACGTTTCTTTATTTTTGCAACAAAAACAAAGAAGTGCGGTTTTGAAAAAAGTGCAGTTTCATTGCTTTTTGTTTGTTTTTGCAAAAAAATTATTAAAATAAGTTATGTTTTGCATTTGTCATTTAAAAAAAACTTTCTAAAAAAAATGTTTTCATTTTGTTTGTTTTTTTGCAAAAAAATTAAAATAAATTGAAAAATAGATATTAATAATAATACAAAGTGAATACTGTTTTCTAAATAAAAATTCCTTTTTTGTATTTTTAAATGCTTATGGGCTGGAGTCTGAATATCTTTATCCTCTGTATAAAAAAATTTTTAATATTTTTTTTTTTTTTATAAATTTGCAAAAACAAATACACTTAAAAATCTGATAAATCTGAGAACTGATTTCTAAAATTTTCCATTCATGTTTTTTTTTTCTTTTTTCTTTTCCTTCTTAGCAAAAAAAAAGATTTAAAATATTCAAATAAAATGCATTTTTTTCCTCCCAAAAATGAAATTAAAAAATAACTTCATAATAACACAAAAAAGTAAAAGGTAAATGTGTGTGTGTGTGTTTCAGGGGTCCTGCAGCTCTGTGCGTTTCAGAGGAGCGTCTCTGAACCGGCGCCTGCGAGCGTCTCCGACAGCTAAAACTCAACATGAGCTCATCATCCGCAAACATTGCAACATGAAATAAACGACTTTTGGACTCTTTCTTTGGTAGAGGATTTATTTCTCCGACAGGATTGATGGTGCAGCATGATCTAACACTGGCATTACTGGACTCATGTGGTTATCAATACAGAAGACAGGAGTTATGACTCTGTTTGACCAGTAGATGGCATTCACAAACAAAACACCATCAGATGAAGAACAAAACATTTCTCTACATCCGTGACTGAACATGAAATACACACAGAAACATATCAGTAAAAGTGCACACAAAAATACCCAATTTTCCATTCATGTTTTTTTTTTCTTTTTTCTTTTCCTTCTTAGCAAAAAAAAAGATTTAAAATATTCAAATAAAATGCATTTTTTTCCTCCCAAAAATGAAATTAAAAAATAACTTCATAATAACACAAAAAAGTAAAAGGTAAATGTGTGTGTGTGTTTCAGGGGTCCTGCAGCTCTGTGCGTTTCAGAGGAGCGTCTCTGAACCGGCGCCTGCGAGCGTCTCCGACAGCTAAAACTCAACATGAGCTCATCATCCGCAAACATTGCAACATGAAATAAACGACTTTTGGACTCTTTCTTTGGTAGATGATTTATTTCTCCGACAGGATTGATGGTGCAGCATGATCTAACACTGGCATTACTGGACTCATGTGGTTATCAATACAGAAGACAGGAGTTATGACTCTGTTTGACCAGTAGATGGCATTCACAAACAAAACACCATCAGATGAAGAACAAAACATTTCTCTACATCCGTGACTGAACATGAAATACACACAGAAACATATCAGTAAAAGTGCACACAAAAATACCCTGAATTAGAGTACAAGTTTGTCTTTTTCCAAGCAAAATAAAATCTTAGCATAAACATTATAAACATTTTTGGCAGTAAGTATTAGCAAACATTTTGTCTAGATTTACATTTAAAATATTTTCCTTTGTTACGTTTGTTCCTTATGTTTGTTGCAAACATCTAAAAAGTATAAAAGCGTATATATTTACATTCATAAAAATATGCACAATTCCAAAAACTGCCAAATGTTACACTAAGTGCTTAACACAACCTATGTTGATATTTATATTTAATGTATATAAACCAGTAAAACAAAGTCTTAATGTTTAATACTTAATGTTTCAGTTTTGTAAACACTTTTTTTAATGAACAATATTTACTAATATATATATATATATATAATTATTAATGTTTGCTAAAATCAATGTTTGATGAAAGCAAATATAAAGTTGACTGACAATGAAATATAAAGGTTATTATAAAATTACTGCATATGTAGTGCAAATTTCAGTTGTTGGTTAATTTGTGTTTATTAATACCATTATCAAAATTTACTGGATATATAATAATAATAAAAAAAATTATACAACAATATGTTTACACAAAAAATATGCATATGTATTTTATTAAATAAAACAAATGTTTTTAGTTTTTTTTTACAAACCCTAATTTAATGTTCCATAAACTCAGTGTTATATGAGACCACTTACAAAGTTGCCAAAATAAAATATACAGTATATTGCGAGGTTTATTACAAACTTCAAACTTGTCAAACTGCTGGGAAAAAAACAGCTTAAAACCAGCCTAAGCTGGTTTTAGCTGGTCAGCAGGTTGGTTTTAGAGGGGTTTTAGCCACCAGTTTAGACTGGATTTAGCTGGTTTTTCCAGCAGGGAAGTTTCCCAGAAGTCATTGTGCGACCCTGTAATAATTGCACTTATATTCCTCTCTCGCAGTTTGTTTCGAGGTGCACAGTTTCCACGATGTTTTGGTGGCAAAATAATAACTGAAGCAGTCGAGAGCGCAGTTCATGCTGGACACGCACATCGCGCCGTGAACGAAGTTATGTGCGAAAAACTGCACGCCACACTCGTGCCTATGAGCCTGCGTGACGTACTTGAGGAAGAAGCCGAAGTGGATGGGAAAAAAACATATGACGAAAACAGCCAGATTGGCGGCCATGATGAACATACACTGGAGCTTCTCGCAGCGGGATCCGATTGCTAACTGTTTCTTTAACTTCAAAATGACTGTAACGGAGCAGAACAACATAATAAGGAACGGCACCAGGAACCCAATGATGTTTATAACCAAAATGAAGGCCAACGGTAATTCCTCTTCTTTGTTTTTCTGAAAGCACTTGATCGTAGTGTTTTGTTTCGGTTGGTCCACGCGGTGGAACGCGGCGCTGAACGAGCACGTGACCAGCCAAATGAGCGCGCAAACCACCAGCGCGTTTCTACAACATAAAATTTCCCGGGCTTTTAACGGATACTTGATGGCCACGTAGCGCACGACGCTTATCGCGGTGACCGTGAAGATGCTGACGTACATGTTGACGTAATAAACCGACACGAGGACGTAACACAGCTCCTTGTAGTTTTGGCCACTGAGTCCCGAACTGTCCCAGATGTAGGACGCGATGCGGACGGGCAGAAGCATGAGCACGACGCAGTCGGCGATCGCCATGTTGCTAATGTAGATCTTCATGTAGGTCCAGTCGGTTCTGGGACGGCGGCAGAACATCACTAAGACGTAAATGTTTCCCGGGACACCGAGGATGAAGGTGGGTATGAGTGCGGCCAGCTGGAAGTTCTGGATGCCCGTAGTGATGTTCAGCGTGCAATTGGACATCTTCAATCTGACAGAAAAGAAAGAAATTAAAATCTGGCCAAAATATGTTAAATTATTATTAAATATATGATGTAAACAGTGAAGCAAAATAAAATATATATGGATGGGATAACTCAATTTTATAATGATTTAATAATGTTTGTTTTGAGTTGATTAGCTGATTGGCATGTCACCATATTCTAATTTGTTGAGATAGTGAATTGGTGGGTTTTTGTTAAATGTGAGCCAAAATCATCACAATTAAAAGAACCAAAGACTTAAACTACTTCAGTCTGTGTGCATTGAATTTATTTAATACACAAGTTTCACAATTTGAGTTGAATTACTGAAATAAATGAACTTTTCCACGACATTCTAATTTATTGAGATGCACCTGTATATATCAGTGGCGTTCCGTCCATATAAGCTGCGAATGTCCGTCTGAGAGAATGAGTTCACGGGCTAATTAAAGGCACAATATGTAAGATCTTTTTTTTAATAAAATATCCAAAAACTACAAGAACAGTGTTATATATTTTGCTGACTTGTGTACTTACATTATCCCAAATGTTTCGAAGAATGTTTAAATCCAGAGAAATAAGTAATTTTAACTAGTGACACGGAGCGTGTTTCTGGATTTGTTTTGTAGAAAACATGGAAACACCAAAGACGCTTTAATATGTTGTGTGTTTTAATAGACCGGTAACGACCGCACAGAGTAGCATTATGACAGAACTTTCAAATGTATCTCACACGCACGACCGGAAGGAGAGGAAGCGGTCGACTGTGGCATAATAAAAGCCCCGCTGCTTTACCCCACACACGCACGACCGGAAGCAGCGGAAGCGCTCGACTGTGGCATAATAAATCATTCGCTCATCCATGAACATCGGATTGCATCGGCTGTGGGGATGAAGACCACAACTTCCATGATTCCACACTCCGTCACTGCATCATCAAACTACGCCTTTGTCTCTTTGTTTGTTTTGTATACGCGCCCTCTAGCGGCGAAAATTATATACTGTGCCTTTAATATAAACATGATTATAAATTGATCCCTTGTCATTTGAGATGTGACTTAAAGCTTAATAAAGTGTTGGGAATAAGCATGTAAAATTATTTATTTGAAAACAACGGTAATTTTCTGTAAATCTAAGTCAGTTGCAGTTGCTTCCGGGCGAGCGGATTCTCCATAGCTTTCTCGACCTCCGATATATTGCTATGACTCTTCAGGATTATAGCGCGTTCTCCCTGGTTTGCTGGTCTGCGGCTGATTTAATGCGCGAGGTAAGCTGTCCGCAAAGCGCTAGCCCAAGCGGAAAAATACGCTGTTGCTGTCAGATCTCGATTGTCGAAACTTGACTAAATCATAAGAGTATATATTATTTACAACTGTATATTTTCCGTATACTTGTGTCGCTTACAATTAAAGTCCTTTTCTGATTTTATTGTTGTTTGCAACGTTACTTGGCAATATTTTAAAGATATTATTATTATTATGTTTATTTATTTAATTAAAATAATAATTTGTGTGTGTGTGTTTTGCTTGGTCTATTATTGGAGTAGCGTCACCCGGGTGGGAGTTTTAACTCCTATTCACTGGGAATACAAATAAAATTAATGAATAAATAAATAATTCAGTCGATGCAGAGACATCCCTGTTGAAAAAAACAGCATATGCTGGTTAGGTATGTTTTGACGCTGGGATGCTGGTTGCTGGTCCTTTGCTGGTTTAAACTAGTCCTTTGCTGGTTTAAACTAGTCCTTTGCTGGTTTAAACTAGTCCTTTGCTGGTTTAAACTAGTCCTTTGCTGGTTTAAACTAGTCCTTTGCTGGTTTAAACTAGTCCTTTGCTGGTTTATGCTGGTCCTTTACTGGTTTAAACTGGTCCTTTGCTGGTTTATGCTGGTCCTTTGCTCGTTTACACTAGTCCTTTGCTGGTTTATGCTGGTCCTTTGCTGGTTTAAACTAGTCCTTTGCTGGTTTAAGCTGGTCCTTTGCTGGTTTAAACTGGTCATGTGCTGGCAAAGGACCAGCATAAACCAGCACCCCAGCGTCAAAACATACCTAACCAGCATATGCTGGTTTTTTCAACATGGATATAGTGCGGGGGAATCCCCCATCTCTCCACCCTCTGAATATTAGGTATCATAAAGTAACTACGTTATTTGGCGGTTTTTACTCGGAAAAGCAGCTCTTTTCTAGCATTCGAATAACTACCTGAAACTAGGCTATAGAAGAAGGATTGGAGATTAATTTCCTTTGCAAATGAAGTAGGAATGTGCATACTTTTAAATCGACACCTGCCACGGTGTTTTCCTCTTTGAGTAAACTATTAAAGATTTGAAATATAATCAAACTGCCTGTACAAGTCATTTCAACTCGTTCTCAACATTTACATTTTATTGTCTAATTGAATCTCATGTAAATTATACAGGCAGTTTGATTAATAATAAATATAAAATAGGCACTGGCAAAACATACTGCACTACTAATCATGAAAGTACTTTTGAAAAACCTCATATTAATTTAAGATTATATATTAACAATAAAAAATATAAATAATCAATTTGCATTATGCTGACAATGCAGTTCTTGTAATAAACTTCACTGTTTGATTTTAAGGACTATTTATTTATGCTATCATATGGTGTTGTATCTCTTCCTAACATGCAATATATACTCACTCATTTCTATACAGTACCGTCTCTCTCTGGCAAAGCATTGTGGGAAATGTATTCTTGGTATGAATGTGTTAGCCATATTAACTTACATTTGTAAGATAGATAGATATTACACACTGATGTCAGTAAGTGTGCATATCAAGCAAACAGTCTGCATTATTTCATCTTTGCTGCTGTATTTCTTTTCTATAGCAATGCAAACTGCTGCTCATAGGCTAATTTCTTTCCACAGGTTCCTCATAATGCCACCAAGTTGTAAAACCTGTTTTTTTTAATTATCATACTGTAGATCTCTTTGTATTCTGTATTCTATAACGCATTATAGTCTGCCTTATTTCAAAACATGTAGTTAAAATGTGCCAGAGTTCAAATGCAGTAGCCTATTTTAGTAGATGCACGAAATCTTGCATTCCCATCCAGCACGAAGATAAATTACTTAACTTTTTATTGCAATGGAAAAAATAAAAAACATGGACATTGTTAATTATGACAGACAAATTCCACACATGCAATATCAACATTGTACAGAAACATATGAGAGTGAAACCAACATTAAGAAACTCAAATCAAATCAAAAACACTTACTTTTTCTCGTGCTCAACTAGAGAAAAGAACTGAGATCTGTTCCTTTAGCAGTGGAAGAATCTCATGACAGATAAACATCGTATCCTTCAAAAATAAAAGTGCATTACATATATGTTCTTATTTCATATTTAAATGCAATGCATATTACACAAATCTATGTAATGCATGGAGACGGAGCTAGATCACACTCTGTTTGAGTAGATAAAGTCGCTCAGTGGGTGTTTCAGTTTTGTTACTGTCTTCGTCTAGGAATTTCAACAAACCTGTTTCGTTTGAGCGCAAAATGTAGGCGAGTCCATGCAGTGTTTTTTACGTCGTCTTCTTTTTTTTTTGGTTCTTAAATACTGCATATTTCATTGAATCAGTTGATTTAATGGAAACAAAAGTATTTAAGTTTGCTGCTGGCAGTCTGAGACTGATCAATTTTCCTACTCCCTTTCAAGTCAGCAAATTTCCTTTGGTTCGGATCTGGCCCATTTCAACAGCTAAAGTGTGGCCCAGTTAGTATGTGTTTTCTGGCCCAGAACTGGTCCACATCTTTTTAGCCAGAACTGAACCAAAACAGTGCCATAACCCAACCGGAAGTGAGCCAAATCATAAAAATAGACGTAGCTGATATATGAACCTTATATTCTTGTATGGCTGAGTTCTGTAAAGGGCTGATAGACCAAAAGCCATTATTTAACCATATTTATATGCCACACCTATTTTTTATTTAAAATACAAATTACGCAGTAAATGTTAAACACAACTTAAACACAAAAACGGATTCACAATCATTTTTATTTGTATAATCTAATGTTAATAACAGAAGTACAGAACATAAGAGAAGTGTGCTGTAAATGTCAAATGAGTGAATAAATGTGCAATGATTTGTACGTTTAGGAAGTCTCGCCAGTCTCTCTCACTCAGGTAAAAGGAGAGAAAAAAGAACATTAGTATAAAATATAAAATAGGCACTGGCAAAACATACTGCACTACTAATCATGAAAGTACTTTTGAAAAACCTCATATTAATTTAAGATTATATATTAACAATAAAAAATATAAATAATCAATTTGCATTATGCTGACAATGCAGTTCTTGTAATAAACTTCACTGTTTGATTTTAAGGACTATTTATTTATGCTATCATATGGTGTTGTATCTCTTCCTAACATGCAATATATACTCACTCATTTCTATACAGTACCGTCTCTCTCTGGCAAAGCATTGTGGGAAATGTATTCTTGGTATGAATGTGTTAGCCATATTAACTTACATTTGTAAGATAGATAGATATTACACACTGATGTCAGTAAGTGTGCATATCAAGCAAACAGTCTGCATTATTTCATCTTTGCTGCTGTATTTCTTTTCTATAGCAATGCAAACTGCTGCTCATAGGCTAATTTCTTTCCACAGGTTCCTCATAATGCCACCAAGTTGTAAAACCTGTTTTTTTTAATTATCATACTGTAGATCTCTTTGTATTCTGTATTCTATAACGCATTATAGTCTGCCTTATTTCAAAACATGTAGTTAAAATGTGCCAGAGTTCAAATGCAGTAGCCTATTTTAGTAGATGCACGAAATCTTGCATTCCCATCCAGCACGAAGATAAATTACTTAACTTTTTATTGCAATGGAAAAAATAAAAAACATGGACATTGTTAATTATGACAGACAAATTCCACACATGCAATATCAACATTGTACAGAAACATATGAGAGTGAAACCAACATTAAGAAACTCAAATCAAATCAAAAACACTTACTTTTTCTCGTGCTCAACTAGAGAAAAGAACTGAGATCTGTTCCTTTAGCAGTGGAAGAATCTCATGACAGATAAACATCGTATCCTTCAAAAATAAAAGTGCATTACATATATGTTCTTATTTCATATTTAAATGCAATGCATATTACACAAATCTATGTAATGCATGGAGACGGAGCTAGATCACACTCTGTTTGAGTAGATAAAGTCGCTCAGTGGGTGTTTCAGTTTTGTTACTGTCTTCGTCTAGGAATTTCAACAAACCTGTTTCGTTTGAGCGCAAAATGTAGGCGAGTCCATGCAGTGTTTTTTACGTCGTCTTCTTTTTTTTTTGGTTCTTAAATACTGCATATTTCATTGAATCAGTTGATTTAATGGAAACAAAAGTATTTAAGTTTGCTGCTGGCAGTCTGAGACTGATCAATTTTCCTACTCCCTTTCAAGTCAGCAAATTTCCTTTGGTTCGGATCTGGCCCATTTCAACAGCTAAAGTGTGGCCCAGTTAGTATGTGTTTTCTGGCCCAGAACTGGTCCACATCTTTTTAGCCAGAACTGAACCAAAACAGTGCCATAACCCAACCGGAAGTGAGCCAAATCATAAAAATAGACGTAGCTGATATATGAACCTTATATTCTTGTATGGCTGAGTTCTGTAAAGGGCTGATAGACCAAAAGCCATTATTTAACCATATTTATATGCCACACCTATTTTTTATTTAAAATACCAATTACGCAGTAAATGTTAAACACAACTTAAACACAAAAACGGATTCACAATCATTTTTATTTGTATAATCTAATGTTAATAACAGAAGTACAGAACATAAGAGAAGTGTGCTGTAAATGTCAAATGAGTGAATAAATGTGCAATGATTTGTACGTTTAGGAAGTCTCGCCAGTCTCTCTCACTCAGGTAAAAGGAGAGAAAAAAGAACATTAGTATACCATAATTAGCATCATATATTAGATTATTTAAATATATTACACACATTATTAATGACTGCAAATCAACAATGCACACATTCTCTTTTTCTAGCATCCAAGACACCAGTGCTGTGTAGCCCTTTTTAAATAAGGAAAACTTTAGCTACTCTATAACAGGCTATTTTTAGATATAATACTTAATAATATAGCTGCATAATATTAATGAAAACATTAGTGGTACACAAAAGTGAAGGTTCAGTACCTCCGTTTTGAAGTCATAGTTTGGTACAGCAGGGGGAAAAACATAAAATTGCTACTTTTTCTTTTTTTTATTAAACAGTGGTTTACTGAACAATTCTTTAAATAAATTAAATTATAAGGATAAAAAAAATCGATCTCAGCTAAAGCTATAAAATAGGGAGCCCAATTACATGCACATTTAAAAAAATATTAAAGGCTACAATTAACAACAGAGCTCAAACTATTAAATTACATTTCTAGTCATTTTTAGATATGATAACCAACACTCAAAAAAGTACGCAAACGTGTAAATTGCACATAGGCAGTTTTTACAAAATGTCTAAATATAATTATAAAATGTTTCTACTTTGTTTTCATGACACACTTAAAACGTATACTAATTAAACATACACTAATTAAGCCATCACTAACAGGTTAAATAAATATATAATGAATACAGGCTAATCTAGTGCAAATATTGAGCGAAATGCGCTTCTCCAGAGTTCATTATTTTTCTAGCTGTGGACACTGCTTGCCTGAGGTAAAGGTAATGCTGCTTCGTGTTGTTTTATTGACATTTTTCGCGGTTGCAAAACTGATTAAGAGATTATGTGAGGCATGAGATATTCATTCGTGTTTATTTTCGCGTTATAACCAATCAGAAACCTCCCGCTCTCTCTCCTGAAGCCAACACGGAAGTGACTTAAACTGTAATTCATCGACTGGCCGCTAGAGGCGGGCTGCAAAAGGGAGTCAATCCCATAGACGCCCAACGCCCAACTTTACAGCAGAAAAAAACATGTTTACTGCCTGGTTCAAAAAATTGTTTTGGTCTATATAGCTAATTTTGCCCTTCTTGACGACTGTGAGGCGGGTGAATTTTTTTATAACTCGTCCGTTTAAATTATATTAAGCCTTAAAGTTCTGCATAATTAAGGGCGGGGCCACTTGAGTGACAGGTGGATTGCCACTGCTGTCACCACCGTCGAGCTAGGTGGGCGTGGTTTCAACAACCAGCTCCCACCTCTTTGCCCATCTTCGATTATCCGGGAGTGACGCGCGGTGACGCACTGCCAAGATGGCGACGGCCGGCTCCGCCCACTTTTGAGCTTCAAAAACTATCTTCGGAAACCTACGGGTGACGTCACGGACACTACATCCATGTTTTATACAGTCTATGGGTATAACTAGTAGAAAAGAGAATGGGATGATCGCATTCACATCGAAGAGCATCAAAACGGCATTTGCCTATTGATGAATTTTCTGATAAAATATTTTAAGATGAGACTTTGTTTCTTATCAAAAAATACCGAAACACAAAGCTTATTGCGATTATTGAATGTATAGCGACGTTTTTTCACGCATATGAACTGAAGCGGCTTAAGTTCCGCACATAATGCAGTGGTTAAAACAACACTGTATTTGCTTTGTACACATACATTTAAAACACCTTACCTGAATAATAGTGTGTCGGGCAAAGGCTGCTGTTGTAAAGAGGAAGCAGAGCGGGAAATAACGGATATATTTTCCCATTTTCAGTAATCCACCAATAGGAATAAGAGAAGACACAAAGCAACCAATAGCATTGTTGAATGGGCTGAGATGCAGACTGCCACACGTTACTATAGCAGGTGTGTTTTTCCGAGTAAAAGCCAAATGTTAACCATATCCATGGTGTGCCATAGAAAGCAACATATGGCTCTCAGTTGTGTGCTGTCATTGGTTCATATAGCTCAATACAAATAGTCATCCAAAAGAAAATTCCCTCCAATTTGGCAAAACTTATATGGTGAGCGTTTGGCCCATATGTGCTCAGCCGTGCCACATTTGGCCCAAAAGTTCTTGCTATCTGGGTGTCACCAACAAACAATCCCCATGTGAATCGCTTTCAGAATCTCTTACTTCGAAAGCATCACAAAGATCCAGTTGTAACAGTAATAAGCGTTATGAAATCCTGTTCATTTCAGCGAGTCAGACGGTTCGTTTAAATTATTCACTTTGTTAAACGACTCAACTCAAAATGATTCACGAATTCCCGCTCGGCAAATATAAAGTGTTGTTAGAATTAAATTAAGCATTTCTATTGAATGTTTCGGTGGAAATTGATCTGGTCTAATTTGATGCTGACCTTTTTTTTTTCATAAAAATCCTTCCCGATTCCATGCCAAAGCGATGCACACATAGGTGCGAATCTTTTCCAACAAATCAATAAACAATCGTTCGCAAATTAGTGTTCGAAATCTGCGAGTCTGATCGTTTAAATGATTATAGAACCACCACTCAATGCTCCACAATGTTCCTGATGCATAGTTAAACAATATGTTAGCAAATCACAGCTGTTATCAGTATGTTTTCAATGTTTTTGAGTTACATAAAGTAGGTTTTTGTTGTATTGGGACACATGTATTCCAGCAGCATGCTCCAGTTAAATTAAAGATTCACTTCAATGCCAGTTGGATAATACAGCTTTGTTTTGGAAAATGGTGGCTATAGTGACGTGACATGTGGCCAAGTATGGTGACCATGTCACCATACTAGGAATTAGTGCTCTGCATTTATCCCATCCTAAGTGCACACACACAGCAGTGAACACACAAACACCGTGAACACACACCCGGAGCAGTCATTAGCAGGACCAGCCACCATGTCCAAAAACAAATCCTACAAAGAGATCACAGTTGGACCGTTGAGCAGTTTTGAGTAGAAATGTAAGCATTTATTACTACTTACTGTACAGATTAAGATACTTGTAGTACATCGACTGCAACCATTATTTATGAGAATACAACTTTCACAAAAAAAACATAAAAGGAAACAAAACCAAGTCAAAAGAATTACGTAGGCGTAACTGAACCCGAAACCCTTTAATTACACTCACCTTCTTTATTTTTAGTCTCATTCCTGCAGCACATATTCCATGATGTTTTGGTGGCAAAAAAATAGCTAAAGCAGTCCAAACCACAGTTCATATTGGAAACGCAAAGAGTGATGTGCAGGAAGTTGTGCGCGAACATTTTATAGTAGCAGCTGTCGTTATCCTCTGCGTTTGAGTACTTGTTTTGCACAATGGATTTAGCAAAGTAACCCAAGTGGACGGGGAGAAAGCATATGACGAAAACAACGAAATTGGCCACTATGATGAACATGCATTGGATCTTCTCAGAACGCGATCCGACGTCCAACTGTTTCCTTAAAGTGCAAACAACTCTAACGGAGCAGAACAGTATGATGAGGAACGGCATGAGGAACCCAACGATGACCAACAACAAAACGAAATGCAAGGACAATGGCTCATTAACCCTCTGGAAGCACATGGTCTTGTCATTACTGGAGTCCGTTATGAAGTAAACCGGGCTGATAAAGCAAACGGTGAACCATATGAGCGCACAAACCACCAGAGCGTTCTTGCAAGAGAAGATTTCCCTGGCCTTCATGGGATACTTGATGGCCACATACCGCACCACGCTTATGGCCGTGACGTTGAAGATACTCACATACATATTGACGTAGTAGACCAACAAAACAAAATTACACAGCGCCTTTAAATGACCTTCCAACTGCCTGCTGTAGTAATACATCTTAACGGGCTGAAACATCAACAGAGCGCAGTCGGCGACCGCCATGTTGGTGATGTAGACGTTCATGTAGGTCCATTTTGCTCTGGGACGGCGGCAGAACACCACCAAGACGTAAATGTTCCCCAGGACTCCAAGCATGAAGGTGGGAATGGAAGTGACTTTTTGCAGGTCATCGACTGCGCTGGTGATTTCGAGGGTGCAGTTGGACATCTTCAACCTGTAGGAAACGAACATGGATGGTTTGAGAACCAAAACCAATGAGCAAAACCAAAGAATTAGGGTTCTTGATTGGCATTGATGGTTCCATGAAGAACTTTTAACATCCATGGAAACTTTCCATTCCACAAAAGGTTCTTTATATTGGAAAAAGTTTCTTCAGATTTATAACAGAAAAAAATGGTTCTTTAAAGAACTGTTCACTATGGAAGATTTCCACCACTAAAATAAAAACTAAAGCAACATAATTGCAACTTTTTATCTCACAATTCTGACTCGCCATAGAGTGTTTACATCTTCGATTTTTTTTCTCAGCATTGCATTATATAAACTTGCAGTTCTCCCTGTTGAAAAAAACAGCATATGCTGGTTAGGTATGTTTTGACGCTGGGATGCTGGTTTAAACTGGTCCTTTGCTGGTTTAAGCTGGTCCTTTGCCGGTTTATGCTGGTCCTTTGCTGGTTTATGCTAGGCCTTTGCCGGTTTATGCTGGTCCTTTGCTGGTTTATGCTAGGCCTTTGCCGGTTTATGCTGGTCCTTTGCTGGTTTATGCTAGGCCTTTGCCGGTTTATGCTGGTCCTTTGCTGGTTTATGCTAGGCCTTTGCCGGTTTATGCTGGTCCTTTGCTGGTTTATGCTAGGCCTTTGCCGGTTTATGCTGGTCCTTTGCTGGTTTATGCTAGGCCTTTGCCGGTTTATGCTGGTCCTTTGCTGGTTTATGCTGGTCCATGCTGGTCCTTTGCCGGTTTATGCTAATCCTTTGCCGGTTTATGCTGGTCCTTTGCTGGTTTATGCTGGTCCATGCTGGTCCTTTGCTGGTTTATGCTGGTCCTTTGCTGGTTTATGCTGGTCCTTTGCTGGTTTAAGCTGGTCCTTTGCAGGTTTAAGCTGGTCCTTTGCAGGTTTAAGCTGGTCCTTTGCTGGTTTATGCTGGTCCTTTGCTGGTTTATGCTGGTCCATGCTGGTCCTTTGCTGGTTTATGCTGGTCCTTTGCTGGTTTCAGCATCCCAGCGTCAAAACATACCTAACCAGCATATGCTGTTTTATTCAACAGGGCTGTCTTTTTTTCTCAGAATTGCGAGTTTATATCACATAATTCTGGCTTTTTTTCTCAGAAGTACAATTTTAAATGTTGCAATTTTGACACTTTTTCTTGCATAGCGAGTTTATATCACTCGCAAATGGGAGTTTTTCCACGCAACGGAGAAAAAAAGTCCGAATTGTGAGATAAAAAGTCACAAAACCTTGTTTTATTTATTTTTTTAACTGGTTTCCATAGTTCACTAAAAGGTTATTTGGGGAACCTTCTATGGCATTGCTGCGAACCCCCCTTTATTTTAAAGAGTGTATTCCAAGTCTTTGAAGTCATGCAATGGTTTGTATGATGATTGTGCACCATTTGTTGGAAAAGAAAAGCCAGAATATATAGCTACTGCTAGCCTAAGTATCTCTCGATGAGGTTTTGAATGACATTAGAAGGGAGAATCACATCAATGTTAATTTATTTTAAATAAACTTTCCATTTAACCTTTTAAGAAACTGCTTATTTAAACAGTCAAACCCACATACAACACAAGAAAGCAAAGTAATGTGAGTCTCCAGAATCAGACAAAAATCTCTTACCTTTTCACAAGAACCGCTTGCTCCTGATGAAATCTGGAGAAAATCTGTTGTTGATGTTCTCGAGCACAATTCAATGCCTATATAGAGGCGAAGTCCTAAATAACGGGTCATGCACCAACATGCATGATCTTTTCCAGACCCACTGCAGAGAGAAATATGACACCTGCGTCTTCAACAACACCAGCATGCAGTGATTAGGGGATTTTGGTTTCCTCCAGCTGGTTTCCATGTGTGTGTGCTGCTGGCAGTCCCAGAAACTTTACCAGGTTAACATGAAAATGAGCTTATTAAAACGTGTATGGGCTTGACCGGCTCACAAAACAATGTTTTGGCAGAGCTGCTTTTTTATTTGTATAATGAACATGACCAGGCAGGCTCCTTGATGATGAAAAGACTTCAAATTGACAAAACATTAACGTCAAAAAACAACAACAAAAAAACAGGCCGAAAATGCAAATCAAACTGACGTCAAAACTGAAAAATCATATCCACACACCGATGTTCTTTTGACCACCAACATAACGACACAAAAGCAATGCAATGAAAGAAAAAGTTTAATTCAGCAATCTCGAAATCAACAATACAAATGTGCTTTCAAAAAGAAACTCCCTTATTAATAAAGAAACGCACTCTGATAGCACACTCACATCTCAGAGACGTCTATTTGACGTCTGCATTACATCTGCAAGAGTGTTTGTTCATCTGCAATACATCTATAGGACGTTTCCTATCAGATGTCAAATAGACGTTTAGAAGATGTCTTTAAGATGTTTATGATTTAGAATGCATGTAAAACTGACATCTAAAAGACGTTTATCAGATGTTTGTTCACAGCAGATGCTTTCCAGATGAAGCGATCTTTAACAGACCTCTTGCAGACGGATGTGAGCTGGACACTGGGTTTAGGATTGTCTATGCTTTTGAAGCAGAGGCTTAATGTCACTACTACATAGCGCCATCTACAGGTGTGGTGTTAAACAGCAGAGACAGCCTGGCCGTTGAATGGGCATTAGAAAGGAGTGTGTGGATGTCAAATGGACGTCAAGTTTGTGACAAAAGTTTGATTTGGATATTTGATGTCAATGTTTGATGTAAATTTCACGTCTTTTGAACACCAATTGCCAACTGGGACAGGTTTCAAAAGGAGATGATTCAAACGGATGCTCTTCGAGGCCCCAAAAATAATACTAAAACTCAATCAGGCTGACAAATAATTCATATAATGCAATAAATATCAAACAAACAAATCATTGATGTCAATGTGATGTCCATATGATATCAATTAGACGTCTAAACCGTGACACTGACTTGCTGTAAACTGAATGTCAAACAAATGATGGTAAAATATCCTGCAGTGTGATTATTCAAATAAAAATTAATGTGTTAGTTATTAAAATTAATGTGTCATGTTGAAACACTTCTTAAACCTGAAATTATTTTTGTAAATCCAGTGGTCAAATGCTCACTAATGTGTGCATGTCCACAAAACTGAAGAATTTCTGAGTCTATATAAGCTGTAGGCTATTCAATAAAGGAGAAATTAAAAGGTGAAAAAGAGGAATTAGGGAGAATCAATAAATTATGAATAATTTATTGCTAGTGTGTAGATAGATAGATAGATAGATAGATAGATAGATAGATAGAGATACAGACAGACAGACAGATAGATAGAGACACAGACAGATAGACAGAGACAGACAGACAAACAGATAGATAGAGACAGACAGACAGACAGATAGACAGACAGACAGACAGATACAGATAGACCGAGACAGACAGACAGACAGACAGACAGACAGATAGATAGATAGATAGATAGACAGACAGACAGACAGATAGATAGATAGATAGATAGACAGACAGACAGACAGATAGATAGATAGATAGATAGACAGACAGACAGACAGATAGATAGATAGATAGATAGACAGACAGACAGACAGATAGATAGATAGATAGAGACACAGACAGACAGACAGACAGAGACAGAGACAGACAGATAGATACAGATAGACAGACAGTCAGACAGTCAGACAGACAGACAGACAGATAGATAGAGACACAGACAGATAGACAAACAGATAGATAGAGACAGACAGACAGACAGATAGACAGACAGATAGACAGATAGATACAGACAGACAGACAGACAGCAGATGTAACACTTTATAATAACTTTCATTAACAAACATTATATAATGCTTAATGGATAATTAATTAATATATATTCAAAGAGTTAGAAACATGATGCCGAGAGAACCGCAGCCTTATGAGGATTGTCAAGCAAAATCGATTAGCAAGCATTTAGCTAAACTTAACCAGCCACCCTTTACACAAACCCGGTTACATTAGCTAAAACTCCAATACCCATAAAGATACTAAATGATTAGTAATAGTTTATAAACATTTACAAATGATGAATACTTTCCACTTTAGATTGGCTGCAAAAACATGAACAAATTATTAATAAATGATTAGTAAAGATGTGTGAATGGAGGTCTACACAACAAAGACTTACTGAAAGTTTACTGACATTTGCAAGCATTTCACTTTACATTAAATAATCATATGAGGTAAGTTTAGTAAGTTCATTAGTAAACATTAACAGGAACATCATCTCACATTTCTAGCTATGTAAATATATATTAACTAATTATCTGTTAAGCATTATATAAGTTTGTTAATGATTTATAAATGAAAATCATTAAGTGTTACCGATATATATAGCCAACACAGCCGATATTTTAAAAATTAGCATTCATGTTGATGCTGTAAATGATGCTGCCATAATACATTTCACTGATGTGTTACTTTCCATATTTTAGAGCGCTTGTTAATTGCATAAATCTGTTTATCCCTGTCTACAACCAAAGTTGGACATCCTGAAAGTCGCATAAACAAATTCCAGTGGAGATATATACACAGATCATACTTAGACGGCGCTAAATAAACACCGGAGACACTGGATTTCCTTAGCACTTGATTTTTATTCAAACAATGCCAAAGCCAGTCTCACAGAGACACATTAGGCAATAAATAGACCAAACAAGATGTTCACCGACATATTGATACAAAAACAATAACAATTCAATAGTGCAATATCAACAAATTATGAAAGTTGGGTTTCTTGCATTGTGGTTAATAGACAGCCGTTGAGGGGACTTTGAGGTTTCGACGTCCCGGCGACTGGATGAAATGTTGTGCGAATCAATTTGCACGGATCAGTCCAACGAGGAATCTCCATTTCAGGAAAAAAAAAAAGCATGCATACATTTGCACAAGAAATTCGGTGAGTCCATACGCGTTTATTTCAGCAGAAAACCAGCAGAGAAAGGTCGCCAGCAGATGACTAAGATACCAAAACTGAGGTGCAACAATCCCACGATGCATTGCGAGTCAGTCCCGGCCCTGAGCGAGAGGTTCTTAGCACCATCCAATGCCACAGACCCTCAATATAGCGCCCCCTCCAGGACTGGAGAGCGTCTACACACTATAAAGTGCACTCGAACGGCTACACGTCGCTTATCTCTTGAACATATTGCAACATATTTTTAAGAACACATACATATATACGCACACAAAAACCATGCATATTTTGGACCACACCACTTTCGTCAGGTATCGCGATTCGTCTCGTTACGAGTCCTGAATGGAAAAGCTCCATTTGGGTTTGCGCAAACATGCACGCTTGGTTTTAGCCGTAAATCGGACGCTTAACAATACCACGTCCATCTCTTCTTGCACAATTTTATTTATTTATTTTTTTCGGATTACGAAAAGACCAACATGTTGGACTACTTCGTCTCCTTAAAGTATAAAAAGACAAAAACTCGTTAAATACCTGATCTGAGCGTTTCTTGTGCATAGACTATACATACAATAATACTAAGGGCTGGCTAGCTAGCTCAGCTCTTTTTTAACGTTAAACCAAACCAGTAATATCGCAACACTTTATACGACACCGTTATTCACAACTTTATTTTTTGATGGTCGTAAAAGTGGTCAAACAAAGGCGCTGCAATGAGTAAGGGTTGGTTAGCTAGCTTAGCTCTTTTTTATCGTTAAAACTAAACCTATAATATCGCAAGCTTTTCTATGAAAAAAAAAATTAAGGAAGAATGAAACCAAAAGATGAACAAGACAAAGCTAGCCATCAAAAATAAGGAACTTGGGAAGGAAAAATGGAGAAAAGTTATTTGCAACATTTTTTGATGGTCGTAAAAGTGGTCCAACAAAGGCGCTACAATGAGTGAGCGTTGGTTAGCTAGCTTAGCTCTTTTTTATCGTTAAACTGAAACCAGTAATATCGCAACCCCTTATACGAAAAAAAAAAATGTAAGAGGAAGAATAAAACCGAAAGACTGACGAAAAAGACGGAAGGAAACTTAAAACTTACGAAGAAAAAATAAGTTCTTTGCGTAATTTTTGGATGGTTGTAAATGTGGTCAAACGAAGGCGCTTCAATGAGCAATAACCGATGAAATGCTTTTCCACGGAAGTAGTTTGTTTTTGTTGTCTTTGACAGTCTTCAGAGACAAACCTGTTGTCTTTAGTTGTTTTTGGGTGAGTTGCTGCAGCGCTAACACAAACCGCCCGCGTTTCGTCAACACCAGCGTCCCGTAATGCGTGCCCTTTGGTTGTTTCCTTGGCAAAGACGCACAGAGTTTTAGTAGCTGGCGCATGTGCAAATAAAGGTCCTTTCCCAGCATTCCCTGCGGCAGCTAGTGGATCTTTAAAAACGGTTTTTGGTGGTTCTTTCCAAAGTTCAGACGGATGAGATCTCTTACGTTTCTTTGTACCTGAAATGCCAAAAAAAACAAACGTGATTTTCTGATGCTTTTAGTTTTACCGACGTAAAAACATCAATGTAATATGACAGTATTTACCCGCTTTGTAGGGTGAATTCGGGAAGGGCTCCGAGAGACATCAGCTGCTCTTCTAAGGCCACGATACGCAGGCCGATATAGCCAGACGACAACAAGAGCAGAAACACCCTGAGCGAGACAAAAACATGTTTAAATGCATGTTTGCTATCAGGCCTGGAGGGCGTCTCGTATCCCGCTAATTATCACATTTCTGTACTGCTGCATACCGGCAAGATGAGACTTATTTGCCTGGAAACCACTTATATTCTGACACAGTCAGGCTGAGAGGAATCTCGTCAGTGAGCTTAGGATGACTAGTCACTAATATTACAAATGAAACCATATTACACTAATATTACATGAAACATTGCAGCCTATACTGACAGAACTGGTGATACTGCTATTGTTGACGATGAGATTGTTTAAAGCAAGTGTTTGTTTAATTCAAGTCATTTTAAAATCAAGGCGTGCCATCTAATTAATAATATATATATATATATATTTTTTTAATGCACAAATATAACAAGCAACCTCATTTTTAGTAAAAATGTTAAATTACTTTCAGTAAATATTTGTATAAAAGTGGTCCAACAAAGGCGCTACAATGAGTGAGCGTTGGTTAGCTAGCTTAGCTCTTTTTTATCGTTAAACTGAAACCAGTAATATCGCAACCCCTTATACGAAAAAAAAAAATGTAAGAGGAAGAATAAAACCGAAAGACTGACGAAAAAGACGGAAGGAAACTTAAAACTTACGAAGAAAAAATAAGTTCTTTGCGTAATTTTTGGATGGTTGTAAATGTGGTCAAACGAAGGCGCTTCAATGAGCAATAACCGATGAAATGCTTTTCCACGGAAGTAGTTTGTTTTTGTTGTCTTTGACAGTCTTCAGAGACAAACCTGTTGTCTTTAGTTGTTTTTGGGTGAGTTGCTGCAGCGCTAACACAAACCGCCCGCGTTTCGTCAACACCAGCGTCCCGTAATGCGTGCCCTTTGGTTGTTTCCTTGGCAAAGACGCACAGAGTTTTAGTAGCTGGCGCATGTGCAAATAAAGGTCCTTTCCCAGCATTCCCTGCGGCAGCTAGTGGATCTTTAAAAACGGTTTTTGGTGGTTCTTTCCAAAGTTCAGACGGATGAGATCTCTTACGTTTCTTTGTACCTGAAATGCCAAAAAAAACAAACGTGATTTTCTGATGCTTTTAGTTTTACCGACGTAAAAACATCAATGTAATATGACAGTATTTACCCGCTTTGTAGGGTGAATTCGGGAAGGGCTCCGAGAGACATCAGCTGCTCTTCTAAGGCCACGATACGCAGGCCGATATAGCCAGACGACAACAAGAGCAGAAACACCCTGAGCGAGACAAAAACATGTTTAAATGCATGTTTGCTATCAGGCCTGGAGGGCGTCTCGTATCCCGCTAATTATCACATTTCTGTACTGCTGCATACCGGCAAGATGAGACTTATTTGCCTGGAAACCACTTATATTCTGACACAGTCAGGCTGAGAGGAATCTCGTCAGTGAGCTTAGGATGACTAGTCACTAATATTACAAATGAAACCATATTACACTAATATTACATGAAACATTGCAGCCTATACTGACAGAACTGGTGATACTGCTATTGTTGACGATGAGATTGTTTAAAGCAAGTGTTTGTTTAATTCAAGTCATTTTAAAATCAAGGCGTGCCATCTAATTAATAATATATATATATATATATTTTTTTTTTAAATGCACAAATATAACAAGCAACCTCATTTTTAGTAAAAATGTTAAATTACTTTCAGTAAATATTTGTATAACATTTATATTTTTTTAGTAAATCTTTGACAAATATTTAGCAAATACAGCAAATCTTCTTTAATAATAATATTCTTTAAATCGAAATATTTCAGTAAATACTACATATTTTTAAAAAGTCGTAAATATTTGCATAACATTCATAAATCATGTTTTCAGTATTTTACAAATTATTTTTTACAAAATATTCGTATACCATTTATAAATTAATTTTGGTATTTCATAAATATATCTAGTCAACATTTATGAATATTCTAGAAATTATTTTAGTAAATATTTATATAAATAAAATATTACATTTAGTAAATATTTATATAACTATCTATTTTTGATAAATGTTTTAGTAAATATTTAAAATAATTATTGCTAATTAAATTTTTTTTTTTTTTATAAATGTACTAAATATTTGCATAATTTATATGAATTATTTTTTCGGTAAATACTTTATATTTTAGTGTATATTCTATAAATTATTTTTAGTAAATATTTGTACATTATTTTTACTACATATTTGTGTAACATTTATAAAATATTTTTGTAAATATTTTAGAGGTTATTATTAGTAAATATTTACTGTAACGTTGTACAACATTTTGATAAACATTTTTTAGTAATAGTAATATTAAATTTCTACTAAACTCTAAATGCTAAATACTAAAATGCTGAAACTATAAAAAATGTAGCTACTTTTTATTTCTAACCGCATATTTCATAAATATTGTAATATTTCAATAATTTTTTTTAATTTCAGTAAATATTCCATAAATTGTATTACATTTTATAAATAATTTTTAGTAAATATTCTATAAATTAAATATTTTTGTACAACATGAATTTTTGGTAAACATTTATATTTAATATTTACAAATATTTTCATAAATATTTACTGTAAAATTCTAAATAAATGACTGCTTTATAACTTGAATGTCGAGCAGACTGGTGTGTTTTACTCACAGGATCAGGTAGATGAGCAGCAGAGTGTTGAGGTTGCTGACTTCTCTTTGGATGAGCAGAGATCGCGCTCTATCCGTCACGCTCCAGACCCACGAACTTCCTGCGGTGAGAGGAAGCAGAACCTCCGTTAGCCAATCAAAGTTCCGTCAGTTCATAAAGAGTCACTTGCTTCATTCCTGAATGATTCAGCCGTTCGAACGAATCAATTGAATGAATGACTCAGTGATAAAATTAGTGACTTGCTGCCACCTGCTGGCGGATTTAGTTTCATTTTTAGCGTACAATTTCAGTTATTTAATATTTCTGTATATTATATTTAAAACATTAATCTCCACATTAATTTAATTGCACTCATGCCACCTCTGAGCCTCATTAAACGTCTGGAAATGTACCTACAAACCACTTTTGTGATCTTCTGTGCCACCTCTGTAGTACAAATTAATTTATTAATACCAATTTCATATGATTGGTAACTTATTTGTCTTATTCTACTTCTTATTATATTGTTTTAAATATAAATAAATAAATAAAAAGTTTAAACATACATTTTTGAATTTTACAGATTAATTACAGCCATTGCAAAGAAAATACTCCTGTAAGTCGCAAATTTTTTATCAGAATTTGATTATTGATCAGAAGGTGCTCCTAAATTTTTAAATTAGGAGGACAAGCGCTCCTGACTGAAATTGTACGCTATAAATTAAACTAAACCCGCCAGCAGGTGGCGGCAAGTCATTGACTTTATCACTGAGTCATTCATTCAATTGATTCGTTCGAACGGCTGATTCATTCAGGAATGAAGCAAGTGACTCTTTATGAACTGACAGAAAAAACACTTTAATCCCTGCAATCAAACACATTATCACTCAGAGTCAGGTCTGTCGTACCGGTGTCTTCGTCACCCGAGCTCTCGTCTGCCGTCTGCGGTGAGCCGCGAGTCGCTGACGCACTTTTGATCGCAGTGTTTTCTGAAGCAAGTGGAGACGCAGAGAGCTGGATCTGAGGAGACACTTCGTCCCGCTCGTCCAGACTGGAGTGACTGGAGTTCTGCTGGAGAGACGCAGGTTCACAGTCATTACCAGATCATCTGAAGCCGGTCTGACGAGCGCTGAACGCTCACTTACCAGCGGTTTGGCCTGATCGAAGCTGTTCTCGGCCGATGAGAAGAGAGGGCTGCTGTTGGCACTTCCGTCCTGTCAGAAACGAGAGCGTCAGAAGTGAATAAAAACACATGAAGCGCCAGTTAAATCACGTTAGCAAACGCTCCCTCACCTCCAGCTGAGGACAGACGGATCGCAGCAGCTTATAGCAGCCTTCTCTGTTACGCAGAGACACGAACAAATACTGCAACACAGAGAGAAAAAAATTCATATGATTTAATATAAAAAATTATTAATAATAATTTTAATAAATATATTCTTATATTTTATTACATTTTAATATACTTCAGATACAAGTAAATCTCAAAATAAATATTTAAAAAATACATATTTGAATATACTACAGATATACTGTAGGTAAATCTCAAAATAAAAAAAAATGTAATTATAGATACATTATAGAGAGTAAATCTCAATAAATTAACTAAAGAATTTCTGATAAAATATTAAAC